CTGTGGAGCCCCAGAGCCACGAGCGGGGCATACATGGGGGCCACTGGAGCTGAGGCCTCTCAGCCGACCCTCCCTTGAGCTGTGGTGGCCCCGGAATGTCCCTTCAGGGGCCTTGGGGCTGCAGTCTGGATGAAGGGGGTCTGATGTGTCTTTTTTTAAAAACTGCTTTATTGAGATGTGACCACATACCATACAGCTCACCCTTTTAAAGTGCACAAGCCAGTGTTTTTAGTGTATCCACAGATAGGTCAATGTTAGAACACTTTCATCCCCTCAGAAAGAGCCCCCTGCCCTTTAGCTATCACGCCCTACTGCCCCGCCCCCAGCCCCAGGCGACCACTTATCTCCCCTCTGTTTCTATGGATTTCCCTACTCTGGACACCTCTTAGAAATGGCATCATGCTTTATGTGGCCTTTTGTGTCTGGCCTCTCACTTGTCATGTTTTTGAGGCTCAGCCACACTGTAACAGGGGTCAGAACTCCATTCCTTTTTGTGGCCGAGTAACAGTCCGTTGTGTGATAGACCACGTTTTGCTATAGACATCTGGCTACTGGGGATAATGCTGCTCCCAACAACGTGTACGCGGATGCCGGATGCCGTCAACGCTCTTGGCTACGCCCTCGGAGCGGCATTGCTGGGTCACGTGTAAATTTGAGGCACCGGCAGACCGTGTCCACAGCAGCTGCCCCGGCTGGTGGCGGGTGTGCTCTGGGTGCCTCTCGGGAGGGCCTCCCTGCTGCGCGGCCCTGGCCACCTCCGCTCTGCCCGGAGCCCAGGGACAGGGCCACCACCGGTCCTGCTGGTCCCCGCCCTTCCCGCCCCAGGGGTGCGCTCCCATCCCCCGGGGCCCAGCCCCGAAGCCCCGTGACCCTGCGGTTTCTCAGGATTCGCACGAGGCCGGGAGCACCGGTTGATGTCACCGTCAACCATCACGTCACTGTCACTTGTCACCGGGCGCAGGGCCTCTCTCGGCTTCTCTTCCCCTTCTCAGGCCGGGCTTTGGGCCCGGCTCCGCACGCCCTGCCTGCGTGGCCCCGCGCGGTTTCTCCCGTTAGAACCTCTCTAGCGGGTCCGGATCCGGCGAGGAAGGGGCGCTCAGACCCAAGCCGCGGTGGGGCCGCCTAGTCCGCCGCCGCTGCCTCGGGTGGTGCTGCCCCCTGGCGGCCGCGGGCCGGACATGCACGGCGCGCTCAGCTTCGCGGGCACCCTCTAGGGGCCGTCACTGGGACAGGCGGGCCTTGGTCATCAAGAATTTGGGTCTTCGCAGGACCCCGGAGAAAGACCACGCCCCCCAGGAAGCTGAAACGAGGCTCTAAGTTTTGAGCGCCCACTCAGTGTCAGGCACAGCGTAGGCGGGGGACAGACATGCTGTCAGTGAACGTCCCCAATAGCCCTGCGGGCAGGTCCTGTGGCCATTCCCAAATCACAGGTGACGACGCTGGGCTGGCGGGGGTGAAATACCTCGTCCAAAGCGAGCTGTCATCTGACGTCCGGGGTTTCCGGAAGGTCTTAGAGTAACACGGGGAGCGCGGCTGTTTCCCCGCTAGTACCAAGCACTCTCACGAATGTCAGCGTGCTTTCCTGTCCACTCAGGAGGGCCTCCCCGGCAGGTCCCTCTAGCTGGGTCAGGAGGCTTTGGGCAGCAGTGTGCCTTCCTGGGGCTGTGCCGCCTCTTCTAGACCAACTCCAGACCATGTGACCCCAGGATTCCCAGCCAAACCGTTCAGAGCTCACTTCCCCCGCCGCTGCCATGGCTTCTCCTTGGACCTGTCCCCACGGGGTCTGCCCGGTGTGCACACCTGTGGGCTGCGGCCACTCGCGAGCCCGGAGAAGTGAGAGTGGGCCTCGGAGGGGGCTTGACCCTGCACCGGATGTGCGGGTGTATTTGTCAGGGCTGGGAGCCGGGGTGTGTCTGGTGGAACGGGGCTGTCAGGTTGTTGACTTTTCAAATACTTGGACACATGTGAGTGCTGAAATGTCGGGGGAGCCTGGGTGGGTCTCCCCAGCTGGCAGGGTGCTCGCCCACGCACGCGACCATCGGTCCCTCAGGGAACAGCAACAGGCCCTGCTTAGGCACAGGCCCTGTCCAGGGAGCTGGGAATACATCAGTGAACAAATAGCAGAGTGTCCCTCCAGGGAGCACTGGTCTGGGACACACTTGAGGAAAGAGCCCAGGAGTGTAGCCTGGGCTGCTGGAGGTGGCCGGGCAGCCCCGAGGGGTCTTGGGGTTCCCCTCCTCAGTTCCTGCCTCCTTCCATGGACCCCAGGACAGCAAGGGTGGGCCTCACTGTGCCTGGCTCCCTCCCCACCTCGCAGAACCGTGGGGAGCACTTTGTGGAGGGGTGGATGGAAGAGAGGGAGGGAGGGTCAGACTTTGTGTCTGACCTGGCCCATAGGACAACTGTTTCTTCTGATTTGGACCATGTGTCAGAGAAGTTAGGACATAGGAGTGGAGTCTGTCGGGGCCAGAGAGGCCTCACTGGCTGGCTGATCACCCCCAGTCCCCAGTCCCTGCCCCAGGAATCCTCCTCCTACCTTTGGGCCCTTCAGTCCCCTTCCTGTACTTATGGGCTCTTACCCGGCAGCTGTGGTTCTCCCAGAGGTGCCTGTGAGCCTTTGTCCAGGGCTTGCCTTCTTTAGGCCTCCTCTCTCCACAGACAAACTTGCAGCCTGGAGTCTGACCACATCTGGGTGAGGTCTGCCGAGCTTTTCACCTAAGACTTCGGGGGCAATGCTGTGATGGAGGGAGGGGGTGATGGAGGGGGGGTGATGGAGGGAGGGGGTTGATGGAGAGGGGTGATGGAAGGAGGGGGGTGATGGAGGGAGGGGGGTGGTGGAGGGAGGGGAGGCTGTCTGACCCTCTCTCAGGCTCTGTAACCCCACTATGAACATGAGAAGTTTCCCTGAGCAACGTGAGTCAGATGAAGGAGAAAGGTTGTGGTCGGTGAACAAAGGTTCAGCTACGAGATATGAGGGGAGGGGAGGTGTGTGTCGGGGAAGACTGTGCCTTGGCCAAGGTGGGCCCTTGACCACCGCCTCCCCAGCTGTTCCCCAGGGTCTCGGCCTCAGGGGCAGGGCCGCCTCACGCCCTGGGTGGCCCTGTGTCCAGCACGGAGCTGGCAGGTGACCGGAGCCCAGTCCCCCCGTCAGGGCCCCCCGGGCAGCCCCTCCACTAAGGGCTGTGGATGGCGGACTGGGGCCTGTCTGGGCCCTGAGCACGGAGCCTGCCCTCCCCAGCAGTGACAGCCCCTCCACGCAGCCACCTTCTAATTTCATGTGGCCCCATGTCATCCTGCAGGCACCCTCTGAGACTCCCCGGGGGCGGAGACCCTCCAGGCCACCCCTCCCAGCAAAGTCCTGACAGCCCCTTTCCTGAGCCAGCGGCTCCCTCCCGGGGCCTGAGCCCTGCCTCTGCCACAGTGGGGAGCTGGTAGGCTGGGCAGCGCTTGACTGGTGGCCCCCGGAAGGATCCATCTCGTCCTACTCCCTGGAATCTGGGGGCAGGGCCTTATTTGGAAATAGGCTTTGGCTAAGGATGCAGCGCTGAGCTCACCGTGGATTATCCAGGGGAACCCTAGGTCCAAAGAGACAGAAGAGAGACAGAGAGGGGGGTGAACCCGGCGGCGGGGGGGTCGCGGCAGCACCAGAGGCCGAGAGTGAGGCATGGAACCCGCTGCCCTGAGAGCCACCAGAAGGAGCCCTGCCCACGGCCTTGATCTCCGACCTCCAGCAGCCAGGAGGCTGAGAGAATCCTGTTTGCTTTACGCCCCCCGGTTTGCAGTAATTAGTTACAGCAGCCCAGGGAAGTCATACGTCAGATGTTGTCGAAACATCCTGTGATCCCGGCCCTGAATAATCCAGACTGTTCCTAGAAGCCGGCCCATCACCTGGAGAGGTCAGGCGCACGCCCCTCCCCCAGGACTTGGCCCCTCCAAGAGGTCCCTAGAGGGAAACGTTTGCCTGAGAAGGTAAAATGACATTACCCCAGGTTAGGAAGTTGGCACCGACGTGTATTCTCGCGTTTTTATTTCTAAACGTATTTTCTAAATCACCTATCCTCTCAGGGTCTCTCACAATGAAGAACGTCCATCGCTGCTGCCTTAGGAAAATGCAAACGTAAGCGATGGGTGTGGTCAGCCCCAATGCCGACCGCTGAGGTAGGTGTCACTGGCCCCTGTCACGGTTGGGGGAATGGAGATAGCGCTGTGACCTGGCCTGGCCCTCGGCGGCTTCTCCCCGACAGTGGAGCTGGGAAGCCTCGGTGCGGAGGACTTACCGCCGTCCTCGGAGCCCGTTGGCGGAGTGTCACCCTGCCTGGGGTGCCCCCC